CGTCCTTGCCTTGATTTGGCTAGCTGAGAATGGGCAATTCATCAGTTCAAACAGGACAAGATTCAGGTGGTCTCCCTGCACGGGAGTTACCCCAACTACACTAAGGTGCGGTATTGGTTTGAAACAGAAGAACTAGTCATGAGTAACTTCTCTGAGGCTACAAGATTGTGCTTTTTTCCGGCTTACCTTAGTCAAGTCTGGCACATGCTGGTGGACCTATAATCTGTGCACTATGGGAGGGACAGGACGCTTTAGAGAAGAGACTGAGAAGAAACCATCAGGAATAAACAATACAAAGCAGGGCAAAGAGCAGATGAAAGGCACGTGAGTGAGTCAGATGAATGAGAGAGAGTGGAGTAAAAAAAAACAAATCAGTGGAAAAAGAAAGAAAGCAGTGACAGCATCCAAAAAAGAAAATCTTCTGTATAGTCCCTATGGCCAGGTGTGTGTCCATAGCACTCTCTCCCTGCCCTGGGGAGGTATGAAGTTTGATTGTTTGGCTCAAGCAACACACACTGGCAGAGAGCAGAACTGAATGAGCCAGCTGTGATCACAATTTGAAAAACTAAGTCTAGAGATAGGTAGGTTTCACAAGCCCCACTGTTAGCACAGAGGGCTGAAACTAGCTACCCTCCCGCAACCTCTCTAGCACCCACAGGATCCAAGAGCTGTGGTGAGATGCAGCCTGCAGGAAGAGAAAACCTCCTATATTTTAAGTTAGCATCATGCAAAACGGTGCATGCAGCCTTCCCGGATCTGTGAACACACAGATCCATTGCCTCTGATTCCCGTTGAAATTCAGAGCCGTGGAGTAAAAATGGCAAGAAATTGATCAATTTAACTGTGGCCTCCACACAGGAAAAGGATGTTCATTTATAAAAACAGTCACCGTTATTATTCATAGAGCAGAGGATGCAAAGGCAGAGACAAAAGAAAAGAGTAGCACAAATATCTTTCCTCTTTGTAGCAACAAAGATGCCCTAGGAGTAGGGTAACATGGAGCACTTTGAGCAGAAGGTGCTTGTTTCCCTTCTCCCTTTCAAAAGCCAAAACACTCATCGGACACACTCCATGCAAGGACAGATACAGAAGACGGTCTTTTAGCAGGATGCAGGGCTAGTTTGCTGGGAAAAATCCCAGCGCTGTTTGTCAGCAGCTACACGAGAACAGCTGGGCTTCCACCACTGCCCCAGGGCCATCACTGCCACTGTCTCCCTCTGGCTTGCAAGTGAGGACTTTGGCTGCCCATGCGGCAAGCAATTGGTAACATTTCAAACCATAGATGCAAATTATAAACCGTTTCCAATTTGTGCATTCCTAGCTCAGCAAAGAGTGCAACGGTTACTGTTGCTGAGGGCTAAACAGAGGTCGCAGAGTGATACTACTAGCAGTGAATTATTTGTGTACTGTAGCGTGAGGATTTAGGGTCATGGCCACAGGAGAAGAATATTCTGGGTCACCCCTCCTTGCTACAGAAAAACATACCCAGCTTTGGAAACAAACAGCTGATACTCCTTGTTCACTGTCAAAGATTCCCTAACTCATTCCAATACTGAAAGTAAGGCGAGTACTCTGCCCACTTAAGAAATGCTTGAGCAAAAAAACCCTGACGAACTGATGAAAACAAACCATCCTCACAAATGCAGTCAGAGAGCAATAGCAGGCAAAATGTTGCTGGGTATAGCTCTCAGAAATCAGCCCCAGTTTCTACCTGGAGCCCAGCATGCATTAGTTCTGGCTGCGTAACTTCAAAGCAGGATCCAGACAAAAGGTAGTCATATATGGTCAGGCTGAAACATCTTATAATCATTAAAAAATCAGCTAAGTATGAAACATTACAAGTGTTTCTGTAAAATATGAATATTTTAGCTCCTGTTTTTCAAAGCACTTCCACTTATTGCTCTTGGAAATGAACTTAAGTATCAGTTACTGGCACTGCTCAGCCCAGAATCACAGCAGTGCCTCTGCTTTAAAGGTGTGTGGTAGTGCCTGAAAACAAGACCGAATTTTCAGTTCTGAAATGCACATGCATATCTCAGTGCACAGACAGCCTTTCATTTCACATAAGAGTGACAGTTCTCCTGTGAATTTGTAAACCCTCCTTTCTATCAAAAGACATAAAATGAGCCCTGCCTCCATCAAAATGTTCTTTCTAACTGAGTTAATAAGGATTTTCTGTAAATGCTGGATGAGAACTTAGCAGAGAAATAACTTCTTCACGCAGTACTTTTAACCGACCGTTTACAATGAAATGAAATTTAAAGCATGATCTTGCTTACGGTGAAGTGCAGGGAAGTCTTGCTTAATCTTCCCTGGGTGTGGGATACTGCTCACGATGGGCTGTTTCTAGCCCACTGTAATAATTTCTGTTTATACTGTTGTTCTCCTCATCCCAGAGGTTTTGGTGGGATGCACACTGAGATTTAATGCACTTGTCATCACTACAGTGAATTATTCTGGATGTTACACTTAATTTCGATTGACACAACCTCAAACATAGAAATATCTGACTACATTCTGGTTTTCTCCTTTCCTGTTACTCAGCAGCAGTTCTCAGAGACGAAGACAGACAAACAATTCCACTCCTTATATTTACATTCTGCTAGAGCGCTGAAAGCATTTTGCCTCAGACCAATGCAGACCCTGTCTGCTGGAGATGCACTTCATAATATTTAAACCATCGTGCAATGTTGATCAAGTTCAGGTAACACAGCTCTGAAAGGTATAATCTTTTACCAGCTACCATATTATAGAAGTCAATCAACTCCTTAAAATGCTCTGAAAGTCAAGCTTTCCAAGCACTCAATCTGCCATTCATACTTCTACACACAGGTGAATCATTTTACCAGAACTTATCTAAATAAAGAAAAGCAAGCATCAAAGAAATGAAAACATCAGGAATAATTCAGACAAGTCTGGCATCACTGTCTCTGATTTCAAAGGGTGTAGGATCCAACCCTGTAGCACACTGGAGCTAGAGCAAAAGTAACATATGGGCATCCGAGCCAGATTTCCAAATTTAGTGTGAAGATAAGGCCCAGACAAAGTTGCCTTGAAGCCAAAATTGCTGGGCAGTTGGGGAACTAGCCCCTAGTTAAGAAAATACTTAAAAGAGCCTATTTTCTGACTAAGCTACTTTCAGGACCCTTTACTATACAGACACAAGTGACCTAAAAGATATTACAATGTTTTTAACACTGTGAAGTTATTTTCTTGCAAAGGCAGAGACCAGGGGCAGGTGGGTTTTGCGATGGAATACATGGGCCAGACCCTCAGCAAGTGTAAACCAGCATTACTTTCGGGTCTCATTGAAGACACAGTAATTCACAGCAGCCAGCACCCCTGTGTGTGTAGTCTTACAAAGGGAGGAGTCTCAGTAAAACGCATCTTCCCAAATAAACAAAAACTGCATCGTTCATCTCTTTTTCTTTGTAAAAAGCTAAAATTTCTTCCCCTCAGACTCTGTTGACTGTGACTGAAGTTCAGCCTTAAAAATATGATTAATGATTTAATTGTTTTGATTAAAATTTCTTAATTAAAATAATTTTATAAAGCATTACCTGCTAGAGATAAGGGCTTTCCCCACTCATGCTCACAACTGTTTTTATAAAGAAGCTTCTCACCAATTTTTATGTTCAAACATAGGAACCTCTTGGATTCATAGCACACGAGATGTACACATCATTTGGAGGGACTTTTTCACCAAAAAATAAATATGAACTGAGACAGTACATGCACTTGTCCAAAAGGAGAATTGTTACGGAAGCCTGAGCTTTGGCTTTTAAACAGGATTTTCTCTCACACGTCAAGAGTGTTCTCTCTTATTAAAGCTGTTAAAACAGCAATGTGTAAAACCACCGAGAAAAGGATATCAAACTACTTCCCTAGCGGCCAGCCAGAAAGGACAGACTGCTAGCTTGAGCTACCTGGGTTTAGAGGGGAAAAGAAATAAAAGAAGAAAGAAACAGAACACTCCCTGGTACCACTGCTTTCCCGAATGCCCCCTGCGACCACAAGGCAAAGGCACCCGCCGGGAGGACGCAGAGCAATTTCCTTCACACTTTTTAAACTTCTCCCTGGCCGGGCCAGGCAGGGCGGGACCCGGGGGGGACCAGAGCCCCTCTGCTGCCCCTGGGGTGGATGGGGGGGGGTGC